GTTCGCCTGATCTTTTTGCCGAACTATTGAGGTATTTTGTATGCTCCACTGTGACAGACGCAGACTGTGCCAAACGCCTGCGGTGCTCGGAGCTGGAGTTCGCGGGCGACCACGCACACCTTCACCAAGAGACGAAGTGGTACAAGGACTTGACTACACAGCAAGCTGCTAAGCTTGTCAACGTCCGCACGGATGATGAGAAAGCACATTTGAAAGTGATTGAGCATTTAGCCAGTGGCTCTCGCCCATCTGCGTTCACTCTCCCAGCAGTCTCTACGCAGACCAAAACCCTGGCTGGGTACGTGCACGCATCTTTTGCAGACAAGACCTTGACGATCGCTCACTGCAAGGTGGACAGGCCTCATCAAGGCAATGGGCTGGGCGGGCTCCTGCTCGAAGCTGCTGAGAAGCGTGCTCGCAATTTGGATGCTTCCATCTCCAAGGTGAAGTTGTCGGTGCTGGAGACAAACGAACCGGCCCGAAAGTGCTATGTCAAGTCGGGCTTCACAGTTTATGCAAAGTCATCATCAAGCTTTCCGCCGTGCAAGTGTAGTGCTGACAGCTGCAACTGTACAAACAAGATCAGTTGGCTAAAGATGGAGAAGCACGTCGCGTGAGAGCGTGCCCGGCAAAACATGTTGCTTACTCCTGGGGCTAGAACGCACACGCACGCACGCACGAATGCACCCACGACTTGCAACTGCCAGCTCTTCAATATGCGATGCGCTTGCTTGGGTGGATGATGCAGTCGTTCCCGCACTTCTTTGATCCTTCCGCAGCATCTGCATGATCCAGGCGTGGATCATGGAGCTCTACGACAAAGAGGCTTGATCCAGGGAACCCCAACACCCGAAATTCGGAGTGGGACTTGGTTCATTGCTTGCCTAAGTCCTTGAACAAGTTGGAGAGGGAAAGGGCAACGTTTTATTGTTTGCCCAAATCCCTTCTTATGGCGCGGTGGTGGTTAGGCAGTCGAAGAGTTGATGGTAGACATCAGCTGCCGGCAGCGCGATGCTAAGTAACAATCCGGACCACTCGAGCCTTTGACAATGTCGGCTTGTCTCCAGTATCCTGAAAGCTTCTGTCGGCAACTGCGCAGCTGCGAGGAGCGGGTCTTCATCAGGAAGAAGACAGTGGTGCAGGCAGTATCATGTCGTCCCAGGGTTCTTCCGCGAATCCCTGACCTCGAGATGACCCCATAGTATTACCAATGATTGTTGTGGTAACGGAGAGACACCATAGAACCCGTATCAGGAACCTCATGTCCAGGATCAGCCGGACAGCCCCTTCAGCGCATGCTACGGGGAGGATCCAGAGGAGGAGGAAGAGGAAGAAGAGGCCCCAGCTTGTGCCGCTTTCGACACGAAACGGTTGCCGGCGTCGGAATCATGGTTACGGCACGGCATGTCGCCGATACGATGCTTCTTGTTTGTGATTACTCTACTGTCACCGTTTTGGCCACGGACTCGTTTTCAAGCTGTCGTCATCCCGGCAGTCGTGGCTGCATTGACTGTAAGATGCAGACCAGGAACAAATAAAATGATCAAGTGGATTCACAGGACGACTGCTAGAAGCTTTGATTCCCTACCTTCCCTCCTTGCGTTCTTGCCTCCTTTCCTCACTTCCTCCGTGCTCGATTTGTGGTCAATACAAACCCCTACTCACGACTTGCCTGTATGCTTGGTTTGTCATGCCTATGCCGCAGCACTTTTTCTTCGGTAACCTAGGTGGGAACCATGGCAGTGCCGATTGACTTGTGCTGCTGAATTTTTCAGGAGTCGCTTCCGCCCTGGGCACAACAGCTCAGCAGCAGCGAGAAGTGGCGATTCCAGCTTGCACGAGCCAGCCGGATGCATGGATACTGGGGGTTAAACACGAGCAGAAGATCATGGTGGTGGGGTGCGTGGGTGGATGCCCTAGACGTCCCTAGACCAAACGCTCTAGAGACCCATGGACGGGACCATGAACTTCAAGCTGGGGGATGCGCGGACCCAACACTGAGCATGAGACGAAAGAGTGTCGAGCTGTGACAGCAGAACACGCAGCAAGTTTGCTTGCCAACAGTGCACTTTCTCTCGTGTTTGCCTGCTATGAGAGCCTTTCTATTCAAGAAGCTAAGGCGTTTGTGCATGATCCTCATGCGCCTCGGCAAGATCTCCATGTGAGAACGTGTCTGTCTTGTTGCCACAGGTGAATCAGTAATTACGTGAAGGCATAACTTCGTGCTAGTTTCTCATGCTCGGAGCTGCCAAGGTCCTATTGGTTCATCGTCCTGCGGATGAGCTGGATCCGCAAATGCAGGACACACGAATGGATGTGTTTGGGATTTGTTGATGGAGGCTTCCCGAAGCAAGCCATGCCTAGTGCCAACTGAGATCATATCTCTGCGAGGAGAAAGTTCTGAGCTGCTTCCGTGACTTCGTTGACCGAAGGTGCCTGCTGATTTTCAGAAAGGTCACAGCAGCAGGGGGCGGGAGGAGTCAGTCCATTCGTGTCATTGGCCAAACTGACTAAATCATCACTTCAACCCTCATCCATAGCATCATCTTCATAACCTCCATCACTATCTGCCACGTTGCTCTTCTCATGACCGCCGTCTTTCAATGCAACGGGAGGGGACCCTTTCCTCCCAGGGGACTCGAGATCAATGAGGAGCTCGGAAGTCATCTGCCGGCGGACAGACGGCGGCCACGCACTGCCGACCGGCTGCGAGCTTCGGGGATTTTTGTCTGGTTTTGCCAGCTACTTTGGATGTAGCGGCCTTCAGACTCTGTAGAAGCTTCCCGGCTATCGACTTTCAGACCGAAGGAGGAGACCGGCAAAAGAGTTGCATAAGACTGGGTTAGGTCCGTGTCGGCTCCAACAAGATGTCAGCCATCAGATGCTGCATGGAGCACAATCTTGCAAGCCCAGGTCATCTTTACCACTGGCAGTATGACCAAGATTTCGATTGCCGCACCTCTCTTGCACAAGTCGCTCTCTGTGTTGCATGCAGTAAACCGTGAACCGAGACTTATTCTTGTCCCCTTTTGGAATTGCAGACAGCAGTGATAAATCTGCAAGACAGCCAGACTGCCAAGAGTAGCGTCCCAGATCTGAAGCTCTTGAAAGGACTATGTGTGGCGAATTGGCAAAGACGGAGTCCAAGTGGAGAGTAGTCAGAGGTCGATGCTCGGCTGGGATTTCTTCACATGGGATGTGCTTGACTGTAGCCGCCAAGAACTTCAAAGACAAAGCCCAAAGCCCCACAACCTAAAGGGCCTACAGTGTCTTGCTGGCCCTTCAAGGGGCCTGAAGTTTTTTGCCCGGGAGGAGAGGACTTCCATGGTCTTGTGGAGCGTTCTGAGACGGTCGTGGCCAGTGCACTAGTGCAGGGTATGTAAAAGAGTATGTAAGGACCTGTCGATGATGTGCATAGGTGGATGCAGGACAGTTACCTCCAATCCTACCACGTGTTTTTCAGGCAGAGAGAGAGACCGCGTCTATGTTTGCCGCACGATTTGGTATTGCACCCGGTGTTACGGCGGCTTCACAGATGTGCTCCAAGGAAGGTCCCATCGGCCCCGCGCACCGCCATCCCGGGGACCATGATGGGGACCATGCCGGCGCTCGGTTCCGGCACTCCGAACCAGCGCGCCTCGTTTGGCAGTCAGCTTGCTGAAGCCGCTTTTACATCATGCCCACGCGGGTCGACAGGTCGCGGGGTCTGTGTCCACCCGGTTAACTTTGAAGATTGAAACAACCCAAGCTTGCGAACATGCACCCGGTATGCGGGTTGGTCTGACATCGTGGGCTTTGGTCGCTGCTTGGTTTCGTTTTGTCCCGAAATGGGGGGCATCTTGTCAAACTGTTCGGAAGTGCCTGCCCGGGTGAAGAAGAGCATGCATGAGGCCCTGGCGGTATGGTTTGGGGGTTGGTGCGAAAGTGAGGCCTACACAGGATTTGACACATTAGAGGTGTACCCGCGTATTTTTATAAAAACAGTTCTGGGCGGTGTACGCCACGTGTTGGTGCATTTGGGCTTTCTAGTGACCCCATCGCGTGGCACTCATGTGCATGAAGGGGTTTCGATGATTGCCGAAAGTTCGCCTGTGTTGTTCGAGCCACTACCCGCCGGCGCGGAGATAGGCGGTGCGATCAGGAGATGGGATGCACCAACCCCCCCGCAGGAGTGGAGGCATCTGCCTCATCCGTTCGGGTAAAACTCGAATTTTGCCGTGCGCCGTAGCGGAGTGCAGGTGCCGTGTTTGTCGGCTGCGGCCCAGGGTGTCTTTTAAGAACTTTGGGTGTAAGACTTAGCTAAAATTCGGCCTGACCAGGCGGCGTGCTTAAGGCTTAACTTGGACCTCCGCAGCCACCAGATAGTGCTTTGAAAGAAAGCCGGTGTTCAGAGCGAAGTTCCCGTCAGTCATGATGTTGGTAGGCGTTGTGATGCTTTATCGCTTTCCCTGTTTGAAAGACTGCGCTCAGCAATGCACGGCAGCTGAGGTATGTACTGAAACGCATCGCTGGCTGAGGAAGCAGCTCACTGCTGCTCCTGCTCTGTTGGGCATCGCCTCAGTTTTAGCAAATGCCTCACAAACGGTCCATCGTTTTTCGGTCTGGAGAATCTGGTGCCGGAATGTGCCGGATATTGTTCAGAGCCGTCCCTGGCTGACAAAGCAAAAAGATGGTGCTGCTCCGTTTCCGTCGAGAAGTGTCGAAATGCAATCATGTGAGATCTGCTCAGTTTCTTTCCAGGTGTCCAACATGCCCATGGCCAAGAATGTCACCGGCCCGCATGGCAACTTCCTGAAGACCAACAGGGCCTGGGCCCTAGGGCCGCAGCCCTTTTCCCACGTTGGCCCACATACCTGAGCATTCCGAGCGCAGGATTACCGCGAGCTGATGCTTCGCAGCGGCACTTTCCCGAAGAGGCGCGGCTGGATGTTGTGAGAGGAGGGGACATTCCTTCCCCTTGGAGGTGGGAGGACACATACGATGAGTACGAAAAGAAGGCCGGGAAGCCACAGTCCCTCCCCTAAAGAGCCCTAAAGAGAACATCTTCCACTCCCAGGTCGGAGAGTGGTGGACACAGCCCAAGTGGAAATGCGGCTTCGGCGTCAAGTGAGCCGTGCTCTGTGCCCTGCGTGCGGGCGACCGCTCCGATTGTCTGATCTTTCGCTCATCTGCCAGCTCCTCTTTGCATGTCCCCAGCCAAAGAAAGTAGACACTCGTCGCGGTGCTGGTGGAAGTAGCTAAAGTGACAGGTCCGGCTCAACTTGCCTGCGGGCATTTTCCGCTGTCTCACGACGAGATCAAAGCTTTGGATCTCAGGTAGAAATTCTCGCAAAAGGCAAGTGCAGCTGATCTTGACCAGAGACTGATCCGCACGGTGCTGCCAAATCAATCAGGGAATCTGCAAGCCTGCATCCGTCAATTGCCTCGATTTGCATCCACCTGCGTGCGTGCAAGCAGCGTCACTGAAGCCAAAGGATTTGAGCACTCAAGTCGGTTTGCAGCCAAGTCATGCCGCTTAGTTGAAGAACGGGTACTTTATTGTTTGAGAGCCCAGATAGTAGTTTAGTAGTAGCAAGCGAGACGACTCAGAAGCCCAGCATCATCAGCAGCGGCCTGGGCCAGGGCGATTCGGTGACATCCGAAGATGTCCTCCGTAGCTATGGATTGCGACCTGAGCCATGAAGCGTTTCCTGCAGAGCCCCCAGCTTCGCTGCTCAGGGTGGTCGAGCACAGTGTATCAGCGATCAGAATGCAAAATGCTGAAGCGATTGCTCAGGGAGAGAGCAGTCGCTGAGGGTTGCATGGACATATCTGCCGAGGTCTCGCGCAAGCGACCCGTCCCCGATACCTCGGAGATACAGGCACATGCGGCATGAGAAGTGTCTGAGCACATCCAGTGCGATCGGTGACAGCACGCAAGCACTCCCAAGTCTGACCAACTGCAACGGCTTGTGAAACAGCTCTGCAGATGAGTGACATCTGAAATCATCTTGGCAAGTGAAAGGTGGACTTAATGCGACCTAGACTTGTAGTTCTGATTGCTCATAAAGGCAACGAAGGTACATCGGACGATGTTTGAAGCTAGCTGTTTTCAGCATTCATCAGGTGGACCACTTGCTGCCCTTGCAGAGCCTGTCGACTGCCACCACAGAGGATGTGTACAAGCTGCTCCTGCTTGCAGAGGACTGGGCACACACGGTGCTATCGGCACGATGTGGCACCTGACGTCAGCATCTAAATGCACTTGTAAGTTTTTAGTTTTTATAGTGAGCGGAAATAAAGATTATGAAATTAACGCTTTTAGCTTGAATGCTGGAATCATGCATGCATGTATGCATGGATGGATGGAGGCAGGAATGAACGAATGCGTGCACGCATCTATGTGTGAACGTATGCAAACATACATACGTATTCCTCTTTTTCGTTAGACTTTGTTTGAAGTCTGAAGTCGCAAACCCTTCTCTTCAGCAGCAGCTGTGATCCTGTCATGTGGCGGCGTCGCAAGAGCTGAGTGGGTTGAGTCTTAGAGGTTCCCTCCCTGCATACACGGACCGCGCATGCAGGAGCAGCATTTGATGAGGCTGCGGCACTGCTGCGAGGCTGCGACGAGCAATGTGGTTGATCCCTGCTACGGGGTTTGTCCGAAATAAGACAGTGAACCAACGGCTACTTCGGACACTATTTGGGCACAGTAGACAGACCGTAAGTTCTTCCAGCTTTTCGGTCATCTCCCGAAACTTCTGGGAAACTCTTGTAGCAAAGAGCCCTAGGATGAAACTCAGGGACCATGCCATACACCTAGTAGCAGGAGTAGTATGAGTAGTAGTAGTAGTAGTAGTAGTAGTAGTAGTAGTAGTAGTAGTATGATGAGTAGTA